AGTCGGGTTTATGATGTGCAATCGAGCTGGGCAGTAAAAGGTGGCCAGTCTTCCAGCATGGCCTGGTCAGTTTATGAGGCGTTTAGGGAAAGAGTTCACCCAAATATCCTCCAAAAAGCGTTGAACAGCAGAGCCTTCACCCCTCCTATCACCGCAGGGGGAGGGGGTCTGAAGCCCAGAAAGGTAAGCCCCCAGGGTGGGTGACTATTTGGGAGAAAAGGAGACTGTTTGCGCTTAGAAAACACAATGCTTAGAAGGATGAAGCCGCGGGATCTGGGTGGCCCTTGAAAGGGCTCCCTTCTTTGCTTTTATTGTCTCCTAAAAGAACTGGGGTTCCACGGTGAGCCACAGCACCCAGCCCCTGAGATCACCTTTCTTCTGTCTAAACCATTTCTAAAACGGTTACGGGCCCACAAGGTGGAAGTCCACGGGTAGCTTGGCTGAGAACTGCCAGAAACCTCCCAGTATTAAGGATGTGTTTAAAAAATTATGGAGCCGAATTTCTCCCAAACTATGTGAAGATGACCCCAGTTTCTTGTTATCCAGGGGGTAGCCAGGGGTTGTAGGTAAGACAAAGCGGATGTTGAGCCATCTATGGAGTTGCTGCCAGCCAGCCAGGTGTCCAGGAGCTAATGCAGAGAGACTGCCAGGGCCGCAATGTCCGGGAAGAGAAAAGGGAATCCCATATTAGTAAATCTGTTGGTAAATGAGGCTCATTAATAGATAAATATTTCACTGCTTCCTTTAGAGCAGATAAACAGTACGCCGCCGATTAAAGAAAGGAAGCTGAGAGACATTGACTTTATTCGAACCACATGGTTCCAGTTTGTGGCAGCGTTCTCGCTGCTCGGCTAGAGGAGACTCCGCGCCTGCAGGGTTTGCGCTGGAGCATCAAATCCGCTCTCAAATGTTCTCCTGCTTATAGAGAGAGGTGGGCAAAGGGTGGCTCTTTCTCTCTAGACCATCTTTAGGCGGACAGGTTGCGGAGACCCTGCAGGGTCTTGGATCCTCAGAGAGGACAGAGGCAGGGAATCCACACACTGGATCTGGGGTTCAGGAATAGGTATGAGGTTGTCGGGGGGCGGGGGATCGAACCCTGCCTTCAGGCTTCCGCGACTGGGATGGGGATGTCGTGGAGCCTAGGGGTCTGATTGCGTCGGTCGGGCGCCCCGGGCTGGTCGGGTGCAGGCCGCGTATTTGAGCCTCTTCCCCTTCCATTCTAGGCGGCCGGCGGCCCGTGGCGCGGGACCACCTGTGAGGGCTGCTGAGATTGGCGGAGGCGGTCATGTGGGCGGTCACGTGCCGCGGCGAGCTCCGTCCAAAAGAAAATGGGGTTTGGTGTAAATCTGGGGGTGTAATGTTATCATATATCACGCTACCTCGTAAAACCGACACTGAAAGCTGCCGGACAACAAATCACAGGTCAAAATTATGAGTTCTTCGTATTATGTGAACGCGCTTTTTAGCAAATATACGGCGGGGGCTTCTCTCTTCCAAAATGCCGAGCCGACTTCTTGTTCCTTTGCACCCAACTCGCAGAGAAGCGGCTACGGGCCGGGCGCCGGCGCCTTCACCTCCTCGGTGCCGGGCTTATACAATGTCAACAGCCCCCTCTATCAGAGCCCCTTCGCGTCCGGCTATGGCCTGGGAGCCGACGCCTACAACCTGCCCTGCGCCTCCTACGACCAAAACATCCCCGGGCTCTGCAGTGACCTCGCCAAAGGCGCCTGCGACAAGGCGGACGAGGGCGTGCTGCACGGCCCGGCCGAGGCCAGTTTCCGCATCTACCCCTGGATGCGCAGTTCAGGTAGGCGCAGTGGCCCGCGGGCTCGGCGTGCGGGAGGAGCGGCGGGGCGGGAGCAGGAAGCGGGGGGCTGAGAGCGCCCAGCCTGGTGGCTTCCAGCCGGCGGCCCCGCAAGTCCCGGTGGCGCTGCCTTTCTGGTTTTAATTAGAGCTGAGGCGCCATTGCGTGGAGAGACCCGTAGCATTGTATGTAAATGAGGCTCATAAAACTTTTTATGGCCCAATTAATGGATTCGATCGTAAATTTATTTAACTCCATTTGCCTTGGAATTTTTACAATAAGTTTCTCCGCTATTCTCATTCTCATATTCTCTCTCTTTCTCCCCCCTCTCCCCTTCTTTCTTTCCTTCTCTTTTTCTCTCCCTCAGCCTCTCTTTCCTTCTATCTCCCCTCTTTCCTGTCCTCTATCCCTTTCTTGACTCCTGCTCTCTCCCCGGCCTCCTCTTCTTTCACCCTGGCTTTCTTTCTCAAAGGCAAGGAGAGCTGAGACCTCCGGGATCCCTCACACACCCCTGTACCAGAGACCATTTCCAGAACGTGTGTGTGTGTGGGGGGTCTGAAGCCAATGGGACAGAGGGTGGGAATGCCACAGGAAGGTCTTGTGGATGTGACTGCTGAGGACGGTCGCCCACTCGTCTAGCAGGGCTGGGGAGCGGCTAGGCTTGCTTTTGAATGGCAAAAGTGCAGAGTCCCCCACTTGCCAGACTCTATATTTACAAGTTCCCTTTGTCAGGGGGAAGCAGGACATTGTGGAAATGTAGCCGGCTGGAAAGGCCAGTTGTAAAGTTGGAATTCTGCTCTAAGAGGCTTTTCACAGACGTTCTTGCTTGTCTGGCCCTGGGGCCTTCCGCTCAATTTTCCTCCCCCAGCTCCGTTGAGGGTTTTGAGGGTTGCACCTGGATTTGGGCAAGGTGGAAGGTGCAGGCTCTGGGACTGCTGGCCTGACTAAAGCTCTCTTCTGTCCACGTCCTCGTCTGCTTGTCTGTTTGCCTATCAATATGTCCAAATTTCTGCTCCTAGGACCCGATAGGAAGCGGGGACGCCAGACCTACACTCGCTACCAGACGCTGGAGCTGGAGAAGGAATTCCACTTCAACCGCTACCTGACAAGGCGCCGCCGCATCGAGATCGCTCACGCGCTCTGCCTCACCGAGCGCCAGATCAAGATCTGGTTCCAGAATCGGCGCATGAAGTGGAAGAAAGAGCATAAAGATGAGAGCCAGGCTCCCACTGCAGCCCCCGAAGACGCGGTGCCCTCCGTTTCCACGGCTGCTGACAAGGCCGACGAGGACGAGGAGGAAGAGGAGGAGGAAGAGGAGGAAGAGGAGTAAAGGGCCAGGCACAGGACCCTGGCTGCACAGGACAGTTGGAAAAGCGTCTTTAAGAGACTCACTGATTTTAGTTACAAAAATGGGGGGAAATAAAGTGTAAAAAAAAAAAAGAAAGGGAAAGAAAAAGAGGGACTCAGTCCCTACCCTCATTCCATCCAATCACCCACACTAGGTCCCAGGGATATATCACCTTGGGGACCCTCTCTGCCTCTGAGGAACCCAGTAGATACCCCCAACCCTGGCCCAGTGCTGTTCGCAGGCACAGCCAAAATACTACCTAGCACAGGCCTCTTTGAGAGGCACCCCCAAACTACCTATGGGCCCAGTCCCAGTGGGCCACCACTCCTAAGAAGCCCCCTCCCCATGTCCCAACACTGGCAGATACCCAGCACCTGCCCCCTCCCATACCTGCAAAAACCATGATCAGTACTACCTACTAGCCCTAAACTACCTATTTTGTGCTGGACAGCTTGCCTGCTTCTCGGTGCCCATCCCTTCCAAGGCCAGGCCCTGATGCTTCGAGCTGAGAGTCTTTGGGGTCACCGAGGCTTCACTGACAAGGCAATGAGGTTCAGGGACCAGGGCATTGGCTTCTATTTAAATTGAAAAATAATATATTTATTCCAAAGCATACCAAGTGCTGCAACCTAGAATCCCTCTTTCTCTGGCTTTGGCACCTCAAGTTCAGGGCCATTACCCCTACTTCAGGAGGGGAGCATTCCTGAGCTGGCTGCAGTCCTCTGGAATAGTTTCTTCCTTTTTTTTTTTTTTCCTTCTCTGGGACTGAAGATGTTCCCAGCCTCACTGTTCTCTCTTTTGCTTCTGTGTCCTACTGTTCAGCCATGTCAAATACACATACCGTGTGACTTTTCCTACAAGAACAAATACTGTATATTTGAACCAGATTTGTTTTTGTTGCTGTTGTTGTCGTCGTCATTTCTATAATCTTGGAGCTCATTTGTAAGGGAATGTCTTGACTTGGGAAGGATGTTTTAATGGGATGACTTTGTAGCATGGTGTGTTGTATTAAGCTAATTCTGTAGTGGGTGGGGGAGGTCCAGTACCCACCCCAGGCCCATCACCTCCCTTGTCCCCCCATGTGCCCCCTACACCCAGCCTGGGGTTTAGGGAAGGCTTGCTTCCCAGCCTGGTTACCTGTGTTTATGTAACAATAAAGATGCTTGGTGACAAAGAAACACGGACTGCTTTATCCAGAGGATCTGGGTCAAGGGGAAGTGGCCATAGCTTAAGGGCAAGCCCTGGCTATAGGCCAAAGAAACACGGGAAGCAAATGCAGAGACTGTCCTTGAGTCCGAGCTTTAGATATTCATGGACAAATGTATCATGTCTCTTTTTACATGTTCTTATGTGTGCATAGGCATATTTCTATTTCTCTGTGTGGTTGCTTATAGTTTTCATAATTGTCTGCATTTCTACATCTCTAATGTGTGTTTGTGTGTGTGTGTGTCAACATTTCCCATGTCTGTAATTGTATGTGTGCGTTTCTGGGTTTTTCTGTAACTATAATTGTATATGTGGCTTCCTCTTTGTAGATTTTTTTGGTCTGGCTATTGTATGTGCGCCAATATCTATCTAGATCCATCGAAAACAGACTATTTGTTAATGCCGTATATTCTGTCTACAGCCTCTCAAACTTCCATAAATTCCATGAACGAATTCCAAATTCAAGTTTCCTCTAAAGGTGTAGACTGAGCTCTAAAAGGGTGTTACCTACCCTCCAATTGATTCCGTATTCCGCATGCGCCTTGAGTACAGCCCCAGTGTAGGAAGGAAATAGGATTCAGTACCCCCACTTAGCCTTCAGTAGGGGTAAGGATGCCCCAGGGTCCAACACTGCAGCTGAGGGATTCTTGGACCGCCATGGGCCTCAGACCGGGCAGCGCAACCTAGTCAAGTCCTGTTGCTGAGGAAGGACTGTGGCTGGGGAAGGGGCTAGCGGCGAGAGAGACCAGGGGCGAGAGGCGGTGGAAGTAGCTTAGAGCATCCTGAGACTGGCCTGCGAAAGTCTCCATTCTTATCCCCTGACTGGGTTGGGCCAGCTTCTTAGGACTCTTTTTAATAAAATCGGACCTAAAAGGGTCTGTAAAACCTGCAGCCCCAAATCGGGACAGCCTCGGTGGTAAGATGGCGCCTGTGTAAGAGCTGCCTCCTCTTAGTGATGGGGAAAGGGTCATAAATCCGTTGTTGTTTATGAAAATTTACAACTTTGCAATACAACTTTATGAGTTGTTCGGCCCTTCCATTGGCCGCTGTCGGTCATGTGGATAGGAACCGTGAACATGAACTTTTTTATAATTTCCCTTGCGAGAATAGAGCCGCATTCTTTTGCTCCGCTCCATCCTGCGTGCTTCGGAGCTCTGCCTTCTCAGCCTGCCTGGGCTGCGCTTTGTCCGGCGATGGCGAGCGAGAGGAAGCCGCTGCCAGGCCCAGGCCGGCCGCTGTCGCTGGAGGTGGGGCGCGTCCAGTTCCTGGGGCAGCAGCCGCTGCTTTGCAACTTGCAACCTGGCTAATTTCCTGCGTCCTCTGGCACCAGGAAGGAGGACAATTCGTCTCTTGGGCTGCCGAAGCGACAGCTGTCAGAGAGGCAGGAGCTTCTGGGAGCCGCGGTCTGAAGGTGAGACATGTGGGAAGGAGACAGGGCAAAGGTGGGTGAGGCACTACAGTAGTGAGAGGGCACCAGGAGCGACTTTGAAAAGGGCATTTTTTTTTTACTGTCTTCCGTACTGTCCCTTCACACTCAGCCCCAATACACACCACAGCCCTCTCACGTCACTCATTTTCACCCGCTACCGCCACCACCTACAGCCACTCCTTTCCCTCCTCCCTCAAGGCAGATCAGCCTTCCCTCTGGGTCACAGCGTCTTGGCACCGCGCAGCGCCGCTTGGGTCTTTACCCCCATCCCCCACTTCCCCAGTGACCCTCGGGAAGCCCCAAAGGAAGTCATTTGGTATTCTACTGTTCCCTATCGGCCTCTGGGGCTTGGGATTATTTCATTCGTGACTCAATTGATTCAACTAACCTCCCCAATAACCAGAGGTAGTTCCCGACCTGGGAATGTGGGCAGGGAGGCGAGCAAAGCGAGTAGCACCGGCGTTTTGTTAGCTTCGATACACTGTTCTGCCCTGTGGGGCTAGGCTGAGAGAGTACGGGAAAGGAAGCAAACATAGCAAGAAAACTTACTAATTCAGAGTTCTCCGATGGTTGCCTGCTTCGTTTGCCCGGTTTTCCGACCAGAGTGATGTCTCCTGGGAAAGGGGCTAGGTGCATGAGTGGAATTCTGTGTTGGAAGAGAGAATCGAGTTAATTGGGTGCTACTCGGAGGGGGAGGTGATGTTTCTCGGGCGCAAGGTAGTGTTGTGTTGATGCAGATGGAAGGACCACATCTGAGGTTTTTGAAGGAAGGTTGCAAAATGGTGTCTGGGCAATAGCAGGGTCGCAGTCCCACGCCACCTAAGTACAGTGGCAGGCTGGTGTTCACGGTCTCCCACCTTCCCAGTTACCAGGGAGAGGGCTACAGCTAGCGTGGAGAGACAGCACTGAGAGCTGCTGGCCTAGCGATGGCTTTGCATTGCGCGGTGGCACCCGCCATGGTGGGTGGGCCTGAAAGCGGGTCTGACCAGGTTAGATTTGCCCCCGGGAGACAGAGCCACGCGAGCATCAGTCGCGAGGTTCCTAGCTAAGGTTCTTTTTTGTTTATTTGGCTTTTGGTTGGTGTTGTTGCTGCTGCTGTTTTCCTATCTCAAGATAGTATCTCGGCCTTGGCCAGATAATTAAGAAGGACACGTAGATGTTTGGAATGTTTGCGGGACAGCTCTGTGGATGCGCCCCGGGCAGGGGCAGATAAAGCGCCGCATTTGCCTCCTAGGGCCGCTGGCTGTTTGACTGCGGCTGCCGCAGGCGGATTATTTATTGCGACCGAGCCGAGAGCTCGCTGCTGCCACGCTGTGGCCGTCGCCGGGACCGGCGCCAGCAGCGGCCCGCCTCTTTGAGCCTGGCGCGACTGCTGTACGGGCCCCTCAGATTCCCCAGAAGCAGGGGAAGGGGGGGGGGACAAAAGGGGACCTGAGGGGCAGTCTCCAGAGGTCTATTTGGCTGTGAAATATCCTTGCTTCGGCTATCCATGACAGAAACCTCAGCCGCTGGAATAGACCCGAGTCCTTCCCTCTCCCCCAACCCAGCACCATGGAGACTGGTTGTATAGGCCGCCTGGCTGGTCATGGCTGCTTCTGTCCAAACTGCGCGTCCCAAAGGCGTCCTGAGGGTTCACGCCACTTGGGGGAACGCTTTGGCTTTGGGATTCTGACATCGGAGAGATCACTTCTAGTTCTGAGGCCTGCTGGCCTGGCTGGCCCGAGGATTGGCTATGACATGGAAGGCGGCTCCAAGAGAGGGCCGGTAACTGACAGAGGCCCGCACCTGTGTGCTTTGGGTTCTGGCCTAGAGATTTGGTTGGATGGAGGTGGACCTTCTGGGTCCTCCCACACACCTGCAGGCCAGCCTTCAGGCTGGCAGAAGTGGAGAGGCTCAGTGGGCAGCCAGGGAAAAGGCAAACTATGTGACCCTACTGCCATCCTGCCCTCTTTGAAGAGAAGATAAAAGGTAAGTTTTCTGTGTGGCTGTGACCTAGTCCTGGGGTGGTCATTCTCATCTCTTAGGATGAGGCTCTGTTGAAGGTGTGGCGTTCCTGTTCTCCACTCAATCAGGACTCTCTCTCTCTCTCTCTCTCTCTCTCTCTCCATATATATATATATATATATACATATATATATATACATATATATATGTATATATATATATGTATATATATATGTTTATATGCATATATATGGAAGAATAAATAGATTGACTGCCAACTTAAATACACACTAGCCTGGGCTCACACGTTAAGATTTCAATTTAATATTTTTTACACCTTAATGTTTACAGAAGCTAGAAAAACATTTTCTGGCTTCTAGTTGAGAAAACAAATTCTCTTATTGGCTGAGACAATTAAATCTAAAATTCAGATCAAACCATAGCAATAATGGTGGTAAGCTGTCATGAGCTCCAACTCTGTGTGAGACAGAGCCGCTTGAAAGAGAACTGGTCGATGTAAACAATTAACACCTGGGAACTGGCTACTTTCATTTCGAATAATATTGCTCGAAATAATTGTTATCTGATTATTTGTTGTTTAAGAACCAACAACTCAAACTTATTTTCTTCAAACAGCCTTTTAAGAAAAAAAATCCCTTTTTCCTCCTGAATTTTCATTTCCCACATATTACATGTTCTCTGTAAGAAACATTAAATTTTATCCTCTCCTGAACAGCTCGTTTATATACAAAGGAAAAACTTTCTTGGGTTGGAGAGATAAAGAGGTTAAGCACAAGGCCTCTAGTGCAGCCTTCCTTCGGTGTGCCTTCACAGGCTCTCTGCAGGCCGACCTAGACAAGTCCCTTTTCAATGTTTCTCTTTTGAGGGGGAGTAAGGTCAGAGGGAAAAAAATTGAAAAGCAAGGAAGAGATTAAGGAAATCTGCAACAGATTCCTAGGGGACCAGTGCCAATTGTCACCTTCCCCCAAACCCGATCCCCATCAGTACGCAAGGGTCAGGATTTTACAGATCTTACAGGTCAAACAATCTCCCACGCCCCATCTAGATCTGTAGTCTCTTAGACACCTACAGAATTGGGGATTTTAAAGCTAATTCAAGGGCAAACAGTCATGAAAGTGCCTTCGAACCGATATCACTTTTTTTTTTTTTACAAAACGAGACTGACCCATGTACAGGCAAGTCCAAGACAGACTTTCCACGCCCTTTCTGAGTATCGCCAGGCCTGGGCCGGTGGTCAAGGCAATTCAGGATCCTAGAGCAAATGACAGGGTGACAGGATCATTCTGGTTTTAGAGATACTGTAGCAGCAGAAGTAGTTTAGGGTGGGGAGGTAGGGGTGTGGGGAGTGGGAATGCTTGCGACAGTGCCCATCTCCGTGCTACTTCGAAACCAAGCCCATTAATGATCCTGAGTGAAGCTTTGGGCCCCAGGAGCTGCACTCCGTGCCCTGCTCAACCAAGGTCTCCGTATCTCTCCTGCTTCTGGAATAAGACTGGGAAGATACTCTATCTGAATTTTTATCGGTAGCTGCTCTAAGCAGTTCCAGGCACTTAGAGGAGTTCTGGGATGCTTAAAGCTGGGTGAGGGGAGTTAAACCCCATGGATGGCTTCCTGCTCCGGTCTCACAAACACTCTTCTGGAGATCATTTCTTGTGGAAAATCATGGGTTTTAGCTTTTCTTTTCTCTAAGTTCAAAGACAGGATGCAGTGCACAGCCGGTGTAGGTGTTTGCTTTAAGCCCACGTAGGCACGACCATTACAGAAGAGGCAAACATGGAGCGCGGTACTGAGTAGAAGGCCCTGCCTTTGGCCTGGGCCTGGTCAGTGAGGGCTGATCTTTCAGCTTTAGGGCAATAAGGCCCAACCTGTAATAAGAATGGGAAGGAATAAGGCATTCAAGGAACCCTAACGCATAGAGTGAAGGCCTGGCTCCCAAGAACCGACACCCATGATTAAGGGAGCACAAGGGCGGGCGGGGGCGGGGGGTGCGGTAGCCCAGGACCTGACTCGGGCAGGAGGCTCTCAAGAGCAAAACCATCCGTGTCACCGCCCTCCTGGCTCAGGCTTGTCAGGTTTCCTGTTTAGGGAGAAAACCAGCAAAACCCAAGAAGGCAAAAAAAGGGAGAGAACAGGCCTGCTCATTGACCTGGGCACTAGTGCCTCTGATCTGCACATCTCTGCCCGGGCCGTGCCCGCTGCTGGCGTTCGAGGGTGTGTGGGGGGGAGCGGGGCCGGCAGGCTGTGTGTGCCCATTAATCTGCCGGGCGGGCGGCGGGCGGGCGGGCTGGGGGCTGTTTGTAACTTTGCTGCCTCGGTCGCTGCGGTCCCCGGGGAGCGGGCTCCGGCGCTCTTTCCCATTGGCCGCCACTGCGTCAGCTGGTGCGATTTGCTGCTGTCGCTTTTGGCGTTCGGCCATCCAGAAACAAACCAGTTCGATGACTACTAATAGTTATAGCCAGATGTACTAATACACAACAAATCACAGTCCTGCAGAGGGGCGCGCAAATGAGTTCCTATTTTGTGAATCCCACTTTCCCTGGGAGCCTGCCCAGCGGCCAGGACTCCTTCTTGGGCCAGCTGCCCCTCTACCCGGCCGGCTATGACGCGCTGAGGCCCTTCCCGGCCTCTTACGGGGCGTCGAGTCTTCCGGACAAGACATATACCTCACCTTGTTTCTACCAACAGTCCAACTCGGTCCTGGCCTGCAACCGGGCATCCTACGAGTACGGGGCCTCATGTTTCTATTCTGATAAGGACCTCAGTGGCGCCTCACCCTCGGGCAATAGCAAGCAGAGGGGCCCCGGGGACTACCTGCACTTTTCTCCCGAACAGCAGTACAAACCTGACAGCAGCAGCGTGCAGGGCAAAGCCCTCCATGAGGAAGGCACCGACCGGAAGTACACAAGCCCTGTTTACCCCTGGATGCAGCGGATGAATTCCTGTGCGGGTAAGGCATTTCCCTGCTCCCCCATCCCTGAGAGTGTAGGGAGAATGAAAATCTGGCAGGGAGACAAGAAGGAAGGAAGGAAGGAAGGAAGGAAGGAAGGAAGGAAGGAAGGAAGGAAGGAAGGAAGGAGAGAAGGAAGAAGGAAGGAGAGAAAGAAGGAAAGAATGAAGGAGAGAATAGGAAGAAAAAAGGAAAGGATGAACAAAATTTTCTTCTGTTGTTTTTTTAAAATTTAGAGAGAGTGAAAGAAGGAAAGAAAGAAAGAAAGAAAGAAAGAAAGAAAGAAAGAAAGAAAGAAAGAAAGAAAGTCAAACCCAAACACTCCCATGGGACCATCAGGCCCAGCCAGAGGAAAGACAGGGCCACGCTATCCCTGTAAGGTGACACTTTAGGGGAGGGTGAAGGACTCACTGCCAAGCTATATGAGCCCTGGAACAGGGGCAACAGAAGAGGGAGAGGAAAACTGGTTGAGCTGAGAGCCTGCTCATCTGCACCCTGGTACCACCCCCTCAGGTTTCCAAGCAGAGAGGGCCTCCAGAAGGTGGCATAGGCAAACTCCCTGATGCTCCTACCCCTCTCCTCTCTCTTCTGCCCTTTGGAAGTCCAGAAGCCCAGACAGGCAGGGCCCTCATCTCATTCCCACATTTGACCTCTTTCTAAAGCTTTGGAGGGCCACCTTCTCAGAATATTCATATTCTCATTCTCTCTCTCTCTCTCTCTCTCTCTCTCTCTCTCTCTCCCTCCCTCCCTCCCCCTCTCTCTCTCTCCCCCTCTTCACCCTCTCTCTCCCCCTCTCTCTCCTGCCCCCCTCTTTTATCTTCCACTTAACTTCCAACTCTTAACCAACTTCTGTCTCCTCCTGAGACCCTGCCTGATCTTCACACCTGGCTTGGGGAGTGAGTTGCCTCACCCTTGGGTACCTCTGGCACCCAGACAGCCCCAACACAGTCCTCACTCCCAGTCCGCCACCACCCCACCTACAGCACCCTCTCTTTGCCCCAGGTTTTCAAAGATCACACAGAGAATCAATCCCCTTAGCCTTTGGAGCAGAGACAGACCCTAATGGGGAGTTAAGCGTACACTACAGTGTTGTTTCCTTAGAAGTTAACTCTTCCCAGTGGAGTGTTGTCAGATGGATCACATAACTTGCTAACAATATGCAAAGATTTGAGAAGGCTGGCCATATTCAACTTTACAAAAATACACTGAGATCTGACTTGAGGAGACACCAATGTAAGCATTCAGTTTCCATACTGTTCCCAGGATCCCCACTGCACCCACAGACAAATAATTGCTATATTCCCTAGAAACAGTGACTTTGGCCCCTCAAATTAAGAATGCCTATGATATTTCTTCAAGTCTAATGGCTTTCTTACAAACCACATTTGTCAAAATCAATAACTTCCCACCCAAGTCGTTTTTTAGGTTGAAAACAAAACCACATCTCGCTTGGTATGAAATAATCGTTGCCATACAGTCGGCTTTTTCCCCCCTCTCGGTTGTGATGAGAGAAGCTGGGGTGGAAGTAGTGTAGTTTCCAGTTTAGAGAGTGCTGGCTGGGAGGCACACACGGGGTGGGTTGCTTTTGCGTCGCTTATCCGCATCTCATTTCTGCCTGCAGGTGCCGTGTATGGGAGTCACGGGCGCAGAGGCCGCCAGACCTACACTCGCTACCAGACCCTGGAGCTGGAGAAGGAATTCCACTTTAACCGCTACCTGACTCGGCGACGCCGCATCGAGATCGCCAATGCGCTCTGCCTCACCGAGCGCCAGATCAAGATCTGGTTCCAGAATCGGCGCATGAAGTGGAAAAAGGAAAATAAACTCATCAATTCCACGCAGGCCAGCGGGGAAGACTCTGAGGCCAAGGCGGGCGAGTAGACCCCAGAGCAGGGACCAGGCCATCGTTGTAACCTCTATTGGCTTTGCCCCCTGGTGCCCTTGCCTGCTCCCCAAATTTTATTCCAGCCTGCTTCATCCGCAGCTTAGGGAAAAGCGTCGAAAGCTTTGCACGCGTCTACGCATTTACTTATTACAGAAAACAAACAAACAAAACCCCATACACCCAATGTCAGCTGTGGGACAGACGCACTGTACACACACACACACAGGTTTTCTCCCCAAGGCTGCCCGAGCCAGCTTGGAAGTCCTGGGGTGCACCCAGAATTGGCCCTGCTGCTGTGTTAGCGCCTCTGCGCTCTGTGAGCTACAGACGCGGGGTTTTTGGGGGAAGAAGGAGCCCCAGGCAGTGCCCCGTTTTGTGTCTGGGTTTTTCCGCCTTGGTCCCTCGCCATCAAACCCTAAAGGGCATCGCCAAATCGGCTCTGGCTACTGAAAAGAAAGGGTCTAGGAGCTGGGCCCCAGCCCTGTCCCGGCCTCTCAAGATGCCCCTAAACAAGAAGCCTGAGGAACAAAGGGGAACTCCCCCCTTTCCCGACAGAACCAAATCTCTCTATCGGCACATAACCGTCAGTGGGAGAGCAGCAGCCTCAGCCGAGGCAAGCCAACTTGGGCGCAAGAGGAACATTACAGCCTCGGGAGTGACTAGGCTCCCGCAGGTTCCCAGCTCCCGATTTCCACTCCCAGCCTCACAAAGCTCGGACGCTACCACCCAGCAGCTTTCAGGACCCAAAGAGGGGGCCCAGGACCATGAGAGCCGCAAGAGTCTTGGCTTCCAAACGTGCCAGGGACGCCTGAGATGCCAGGCCTCTAGTAGGGAGAGTCCGCTCTCCTCTCAGCTACATGTGTGATTTACTTTCGTCTTTCGGAGCCCAAGAAAATAACTACGGTGATACTAGGCACAGCCACGAAATGATTCCATTAGTTCCCGCAATTTATTCCCAGTGGTCTAAGCGAGATCCCAATAGCTCTACCCACGGATCCCACCTTCCAAGCAGCCTCGGAGGCCGTTGGGTATCAGGGCCCATTCTCTGGGTTCACCAAGAACCCTGCTACCTGGGGCCGGGCTGGCCAGAGGAACCGGACCAGGGATGAAGATCTTCCAGGCTGGATAAATAAGCAAACCAGATAGCAAACTAATGACACGAAAAACATATTTACACTGAAGAAAAAATGATTCTGGTTATACGAGTATATGGAATTTGACCTCGCCTCGGAGAAACACTACACAAAAGCTGTCTTTAATAGACGCCTGTGGTTTAAGAGCGGCAGGGACACTGCCCTTCATGCGCTCACAAAAACAGAGCCGTAATTGTGGCTGCTGCTGTGGGCAGGATTTATTTCGTCAATTGGCTAAATCGTCTTCCCTTCCTCGAAGGTGATATCTGTGTTTTCAAAATTCACAGCTGCCTGCCGGGCGGGCAAACCGACCCCAATCTCTACACAAAAATAAGAGGGGATACAAAGCCGGGGAAATAAAGTTGTTGTAAATAATTCTAAGTCACCACCTCCCCCTAATCCTCTGTATCCTCGCCGGGCGTGCGATCGGCAGCTGACGGCCTCACAATTGGTACATCCTAATGGAACTGCGAGGGAAATGCAATAATTTTGCCATAATGGGCTGTAACCTCAATTCGACCCCGGCCCTTGCAGCCCGAGGTCGGAAGCGAAGCGATGCTCCCAGTCTCCAGCGGGTGGCGCTCGAGTCCGACTGAACAGCGGCGGTGGGTGGCGGGCACGCGCCCAGGGCGCGCGCGCCACCCCTCTCGCCTCCACCCAACTCCCCCATTAGTGCACGAGTTTACCTCTAGAGGTCATCAGGCAGGATTTACGACTGGACAACAAAAGCACGTGATTCGAAGTCGTACCCCATATTTGGGTGCCTACGTAGGAGGGAACCGAGTACATGTCCCAGTCATTTCCATAATTCATCATAAATTGTGCAAGGGTGCTATAGACGCACAAACGACCGCGAGCCACAAATCAAGCACACATATCAAAAAACAAATGAGCTCTTATTTTGTAAACTCATTTTGCGGTCGCTATCCAAATGGCCCGGACTACCAGTTGCATAATTATGGAGATCATAGTTCCGTGAGCGAACAATTCAGGGACTCGGCGAGCATGCACTCCGGCAGGTACGGCTACGGCTACAATGGCATGGATCTCAGCGTCGGCCGTTCGGGTTCCGGCCACTTTGGCTCCGGCGAGCGCGCCCGCAGCTACGCGGCTGGGGCCAGTGCGGCGCCCGCCGAGCCCAGGTACAGCCAGCCGGCCACGTCCACGCACTCGCCACCGCCCGACCCGCTGCCCTGCTCAGCGGTGGCCCCCTCGCCCGGCAGCGACAGCCACCACGGCGGGAAAAACTCCCTGGGCAACTCCAGCGGCGCCTCGGCCAACGCCGGCAGCACCCACATCAGCAGCAGAGAGGGGGTTGGCACGGCGTCCGCAGCCGAGGAGGACGCCCCTGCCAGCAGCGAGCAGGCGGGCGCCCAGAGCGAGCCGAGCCCGGCGCCGCCCGCTCAGCCCCAGATCTACCCCTGGATGCGCAAGCTGCACATTAGTCACGGTAAAGCCAGCCGTTTTCTGATCCACGCGTCCGTGGGGGCGCGGGTCTTGGTCACCCTCTGTTCTCTGCAGCCTCTCTTCGGGTCTCTCTCCTTGTCTCGCCTCTCTCCAGCCAGCAGAGCCTCTCCCTGCGGCTCTCCTTTCCCTGCCTTCCCCTTTACTTCCTCCCCATTACTGCAGCAGCATCCTGCGTTCACAGATACTGGGGAGAGGGGAGGGAGGAAAATGGGGTGGCCGAGCAAGTTTAGATGTAGAAAGAGGAAGAAATTCCATCTGGAACCCCCAGTGCCTCGGAACTCGCTTCAGGGTCAGGCCAGCGGAGTAGGCATGGGGAGGTAGGGATGGCAGTAGGGGCCGTGTATCGGGCTTGTCAGGGTAGATAATTTATGGGAAGGGCTACGCTGGGGAAACAGCGTTACTAATTAGAGCCCCCTAAAAGGGGCTTGGGGGGAATAAGCCAGGCGAGGGCAAGCAGGATTCTGAAGTTTGGGGGTAAGAAGAAGAACGAAGGAAAGGGAAGAAAAAGAAATCGGGCGCCCCAAGCGTACGCTGGAACAGGAGGTGGCTAGCACGGCTGGAACTTTAACTGAGGGTGACCTAGAGGCCACTTGGGAACTGAGAGAGAGAGAGGAAAAAAAACTGCTTCGGTGCGTTTCTGAGTCGTGGGCAGACTGGGAGGACAGTGCCCCTGCTTAGGACAACTCATACAGGGCCAGAGAGCAGAATAGGGGGCGAGGGAAAGCTATGCTGTCTTTAAACACAGAGTTCCTGCCTCAGGTGGGCCGGTTGTTCCCAGAGTCCAAATCGCGTTGTTTTTCTCTCCAGAAAGGAAGGGGGAAGGAAATTCAGGGAAGAGTGGGTGAGGAGGGAGAACTTGTTGAGCTTTCTCCCCAGCTCAGGATCCTGGCTGACTTTTAGAGCCAGGTGCTGAGGAGTTGGTGGCTAAACCGCTGACTTTTCTATTGCAGACAACATAGGTGGCCCAGAAGGCAAAAGGGCCCGGACGGCCTACACGCGCTACCAGACCCTGGAGCTGGAGAAAGAATTCCACTTCAACCGCTACCTGACTCGCCGAAGAAGGATTGAAATAGCACATGCCCTTTGCCTCTCCGAGAGACAAATTAAAATCTGGTTCCAAAACAGGAGGATGAAGTGGAAAAAAGATAATAAGCTGAAAAGTATGAGTATGGCGGCCGCAGGGGGGGCCTTCCGCCCCTGAGCGTCTGAGCGGCCACAGTACTGAGCAGTAGTAACGGAGCAGCCCTCCGTAGTGTCAGTACTAAGGTGACTTTCTGAAACTCCCCTTGTGTTCCTTCTGTGAAGAAGCCCTGTTCTCTCTGTCGCCCCAATTCATCTTTTAATCATGAGCCTGTTTATTACCATTATAGCGCCTGTATAAGTAGTTCTGCTTCTGTTCATCTCTTTGTCCTGAATGGCTTTGTCTTGAAAAAAAATAGATGTTTTAACTTATTTATATGAAGCAAGCTGTGTTACTTGAAGTAACTAAAACAAAAAAAAAGAAAAGAGAAAAAAAAAACTAAACACACACACAAAAAAAAGCCCCCCTTTGACCTCGTTTAGTGCCAGTGTTGTGTGTTGCACTTGAGTTGTTTTAATGTGCATGTGCGTGGGAGTGTTCCTGTCTCAATAGCTCCAAGCTGTTAAAGATATTTTTATTCAAACTACCTATATTCCTTGTGTAATTAATGCTGTTGTAGAGGTGACTTGATAAGACACAACTTAACTTGTTCATCGTGTAGTGGCTAGTGGCTCTGTGACGAAAACTGTGACTCCAAGCAGTGTGTCCCTGCGTGCCTTTGTAGGACCCTTTGCACGAACTCTGGAAGTGGCTCTTATAAGCGCAGCTTCGGTGATGTATGTTTTTGTGAAAAAGTTACAAATATTGTCCAAGTCTGGCTGTTTAAGCAAACTGTGATCAGCTTTTTTTTTTTTTTGTATTTGTTTTTAAGGAAAAAAAACACTGACTGGAAACAAAAAAATAAATAAACTTTCTATTGTAAGTTCTCTTGGGTCTGATTTATGCCAAATAGCAAGCCGCTCTTTCTGCTTTTCTGTCTGTCCAGTAGTGCTGTAAGCTCCTGAGTCTGAGGCTACCTGGGCAGCCTGCCTATTCATTGTGGCTTTTCACCAACATCTTGACTCAGAGCCTTCCCAACTCTGAATCATCAGAAAACTCAGGTCAGAAGAAGGTGGGAAAAGCTGTAGGAGGTTTCAAAGCCTGAGTCCACCTTGTCCATCTCTGAGGAAACCAAGTTAACTTTGTACCAAACAGGAGAGGAAGAGAAAGAGAGGAGCAGGGCTTTGTTATAACCACACTGCGGCCCACAGAGATCCTTCCTTCCTGAGGCGATTCTAGGCCTTGCTGAAGAGGCTTCTCTGCCAGGCTGTAGACCCCAAACCCTTTGCCCACTCACAAACCCCAGCACTCAGTCCCTCTACTCTTACTGAACCAGTTGGCTTCTTTTGCTACAATTAATTTGCTACAAATGGAAAGTACTTACCCCATCCTAGCTCCACTGGGAAACTCCTCAGAGCAGCTAAAGCCCAACTAGAGATTTGCACATTTACTGGCTGCTTACACGGATGCCGTCTTTCCTTTTAAAAGTTATAAAACAGTAAACTTTATAAGCCCCAGTTCCGGCTATATGACATTTGGGTGCCAAATGAATAGGGTTTTGTCTATGAATTAGATCGTAAAATCATCCATAGCACAGACAGATCGGCTCACTGGCTATAAAACGTCACGTGGGGCCATTAAAGTAAGTTTTATGGTTTTGGGGAGTTGACATCCAACATTATATACCACATAACATATAATCTCACTAACGCTGGACTCCATTTGACTCTTTTGCAGGCTACGTGTGCTGCCTGGTCATTCAAAGTGTCAATTTTAGGTCCAGAAGTGTCCAAACCACAAGTTCTCAAAACTCTGAAAAATGGCTCCCTCCATGTTAAGGTAAGCTCGCCTCTTGAGTTTATTTGCACTCTTAAAAAGTTTCTTGTACTCTCTCTCTCTTTGGCTCAGTAACTGGGAAGTTGTCTGTGAATTCAAAATGGGAGAGCAAACTTTTCCTTCAGCTTGCCTGAATTAGCAAAGCCAGAGCCAGCTTTGTGGACGCAGCACTGTGAAGAACGCCTGTGGCCGAGAGCCGCATCCCCAGGCCTAACTTTAATTGCTGCACAATCGTGGATGTTAATGACTTCCGCTGCTCCGGCCGGAGTGCAAAAAGATGATTTTGTGTGTGTGAAAATGGGTCTGTTTGTGAAAACTTGTCAGCCCCCCACCCCTGGCCCTATTTCTAAGGTTGGTCAGGCCCAGGCTCTTTGGGGGTCGCGAGTTGAAGGGACTCGGGACACTGGAGGAGAGGCTTGAACTGAACTGGAGAGTTTGAAAGGAAGGCCGAGGAGGAGGCCGACACTGGCGGGATTCCTTATGGGGCTGTGGCAATATGTCTTCGCCGGGCCAGGGTCATTTGGCAGGACTGAATTGAGGCGGCGGCCTTTGGGCCTGAGTTTCAGAGCGACTGGAAAGAGTGGAAGCTGGCTGTGTGGCGGGGAGCAGGCTGCACCCACAGGATGTTGGGGACAGAGGGTCCCCACCTAGGAGGTACTCTGCTTCCCCCGCACTGGGCCAGGCCCAACCCTGTTCGCCTGTTAGTGCTTTTCATTTGACTGGTAGTGTTCTCACCAGCCTGTGAATCTGAAGCAATAAACTTTATGGCCGGATTTAACTTTAGTCTTTGAATCCCCAGGCTGATTGAAAGGGGCTAAAGCACTTTCTTTTCTTCCGTCTTGCCTGTCTTTTGCCTCCCTTCTTTCCTTTCCCCGTCCTATCTTTGTAGGAATAAGACATCTATGCACAGGACCCTCGAAAGGCAACTTAAGGGCTTCCCTAGATAACACTAAAGATAGAGAAACATAGCCCTCTCCAACATGCAGACAAATTCTCTCTTCGAAAACTGTGCCTAAAGTTTTAAGGGAAATTGAGGTGTCTTCAAATGCCCAACTTAAAAGTCCCCAGCGCCATTAGGTTGTTTTTCTTGACACATCATAAAGGGTAGTTTAGGGAGAAATTGCTCCTATGTCAGTAGGAGATTTCCTCTTCCCTTTTGTTATTTGTTCTTTCTGTTTGATCCCAGGAAATTTACATAATCTATGTTTTCCAAAAACAGTATCCAAAATTGCACCAACGAGTGAAGTTAGGTAAAATATAAATTTCCTGGGTACAATTCCATCCAGGGCCCCAGCTTTCCATGTCCTTTAATGGCAAGACAAGCCTAAGAGGGAACTTTCTGGCCTGTCCTGGTGTCTTCTCAGGAAAGGTACCCACCAGAGACCTAATAAACTCCACCCAATCCTGTCTGAGGAGCTATGCCAAAAATTTCCAACTGTGTTTAGAAATGAAACATAAAAAAAAAACAATAAAATAAAATAAAATTAAGGGCTCTTCTTTTTCTTTGGAGCTAGATAGTTTTCTTCAAGTACTAGTTGGAAAAGGTATTTACCAAGTGCTTAAAGAGAAATATTTTAAAGTGTTGGTTTGAAATACCAACAAGTACTATTATGCAGAAGTCTTCTTCATTCACTATAAATCTGCAGAAGTCCCAAATTCAGAGATCCAAAGAAAACAAACCTAAGACTTAAAAAAAAAATCAAAGCTCTCTCACAAATCCCACTTTCACTGACTAATGGGAAGCTGAAGAATCCATGAAGTTATTTTGTGTGAAGTGAATATTGGTACTTCAGTACCCAGGAAGATGTGTCCACCTCCTTAGAAGGAACTAGAATAGAAAATTTACATGGAAATAGGTTCTTGTTGTCTGGTGTGGCTGAGAATGCTGGATTTTTTGTTTTGCTGCTCTGAGTTTGGGTTATTAGACAATGTTGGATTGTGGTTCTGTTTTGGTTATGTGTCTGGTGATATTACTTGTATAATTTCTCAGTAGTTGAAATAAGGAGCAAAAGAAAACAACCCAAACAAACCCCCCAAAACAAGGGTGATAGAAGTGCTGGTAGGTTCACGGTACACCTAGGAAAAAGCAAGTATCTACAGCATCCTTTGGCCACACCCTGGGATGTGGGGATGAGTGAAAAGGCTGATGTTATCATATGTAACTAAATACATTCCTAAGGCTCTTTCCCACAAATTAAAAAAAAATGGCTATGAGTAGTGTCAGCTTGCTTACTTCTGTCTGTTTTAATCTCCACAAGGATTAAGTAGAATCTAAGAGGGCAGGTCAACCCACATGGAGTTAAGTGACTTTTAAGAAATGTAGCATCCAGTTCGATCTGTGTGACTGTTATTGGAGGAAATTTTTTCATCCTTACTATTTTTTATGGGAAACATACTTAAGGTAGTTGGGTATCTGCTCATTTTGTAAATGAGTTATATCTTCTTGTGGATTCTTCTGAGTCTTTTCTCTTAAAAGAGGAACTTAGAGGGGGGGAAAAAACCCTCTCCCACTGAGGTCGTTATGAAGACATCCAGCTTCAGCTGGTGGCAGAAATCTGTGTGCTCTCTTGTAAAAGGAGAAGGTGGCGGAAGTGTGCAGGGCCTTGTTTGTTTCTACAAGCCAAAAAGAATATATTCCCTCAATTATGAGTATCAGAGGAAGCTTCTGGTCACACTTAGGGGTTTGTTAGGGTTTTCCTGGTCTAATTTCACAACATTACACCAAGATCCCTTTTCTCCTGTGATTTCCTACTTTGCCCTACTTCATTTGGCTCTGAAGGGGGAGAGAGAGAGAGAGAGAGAGAGAGAGAGAGAGAGAGAGAGAGAGAGAGAGAGAGAGAGAGAGAGAGAGAGAGAGAGGGGGAGAGAGAGAGAGAGAGAGAGAGAGAGAGGTTTTTCTAGCAGAAACAGTTGTGTTCATTTGCTGAGATTTGGATAATATTACACCCAAACAACTACAGTACAGAAGATTGGATGTTAGAAATGAAGACAACTCTCTCAGCTTGCAAGATGCCCTTAGCATCTCCCTTCTCTGGCTGGAGTCTACCCATGGCTTGCTCTCCATAGAAGGCAGAGTATCTTAGGCTGCAGCCCTTTGGTTTCTAATGGAGAAATGTTCTTCTAGTCAATGACACCAGTGTAAACAGGATGCCAAGACACTAGTGCGGTTCAGCCTAGGAACCAAATAGGGGAGGGAATCCAAAGTCCTCAGCTCCAGAACTGGAAGGGAAGCCCGGATTTGTTTTGTTCAGTGTTTTCTGAAAAGAATTTTGTCCTCCTCTATCAGATCCCTTTCTCACAAACGGGACTTTTCAATAATAATATTTGTTATGAAGGTTACTGGGTAATTATTGAGATTTTTGTGAGGCAGCCTTTGCTGGAGGTGAAGTCTGTCATCGCCTAACAAATGGCGTCCATGCAGTTCACTGCCGGGTTAAGTAGATGCAGAGAAGATAGATCTGCACACCCTAGGAACCGCCAGCAGAGCACGCTTTAGTACAAGTTCACAGTCAACCGGCCTGCCTGGGCCAAGTCTCCCAACAATTAAGGCTGCGGCTTTATTTTTTAAATAAAACAAAACCCACCCCATCCGCTCTGCCAGATTTCCCTCCTCCCCCTCTTTTCTTACACTTTTGTTTTCTAAAGATTCTCTAGTTCTCCCCTAAATTGTCCTCGTTGGTGGATTCGCCAGTGATTTCCAAGGAATCTAGCTCCTAAATTTTGACTTAAGAAAAAAAAAAAGCAGGAGGCTGGTATGACAGGAAACACGGTCACAAATACACAAAAATATACACTCCATCCTCTAATTCCAACAGGCAGTGGTGGGAGGACTGCCTAAGATCCAGAGCGCCCCTTCCCCCCCAAAGAAGCGGGCGGCCGGCCGGGTGCTGTGTATCTTTGTGGTTAGCGTGTTACAACTGCAGGTCAAAAAGTTGAGGGTCAAAAGTTTACATTGCGCAGCGCTCTTAGTCATCCTCCCAGACAGAGTTTGATGTCAATGTTAGAGCTGCGATCTTGACTATCACCACAAAAGATAAAACGGCTCAGAGTGACGCGTGTATCACGGTGTGGACTCCAGGTGAACCCTAGTGGTTGAATGACCTCAATTACAGAGGAAAGGATAGAAAATTCCTCTTTTCAGGAGTAATACATGCTGTATTTCATATTGAATTATCTCTTCCATTCTGAGGGAATAGCAGCAGGTAAATAGGCATAGATTATCAAAACACCAAAGCCGTAAATGCTGGAGAACCAAGAATGGTTTGTGGGTTTGTCACAAAATAGATCTGCTTAGAATTCATCAGAGGATCATTAAAACCCAAGTAGCAAGTTTCTAATGTTTCATTATATCTCCTTTATATAAATTAAAAAAGAGAATGATTCTGATTGGCCAGGGTGCTTTGGTTTTATGTTGTAATATATATAGTAATCTCCAAAGTGTGGGAGAAAAGACTGGATATCTTGCAAAGTGTATTCTTGGCAATTTTCAAATATAGACTATGATCCTGCTCCCCAACTGTATCTCACTAAATGCCAAGATTGTCAGAGCAGGGAAGTGGAAGTCCTAAGGATAAGGGGTAGGGTTCCTAAAATCCCCAGCACCACTAAACAAATGGTCATTAGTGTCT